CGTTGTTCTGGTTCACCTATATATATATATATCAAGAGTAGATAATAACATTGTTATTGATAAGATATTATATATAAGTTATGAGCTGCGTTCACACGTATACACGGCCTAGCTGGTACCGTACTTAGTTGGTGCTAAGTTTGGCTAAAATGCGTTCACACGAGATACTCGAGATTCGAGGCTTAGCTAGCTAGGTATAATATAGACTGGTACCCGGTCGACAGTTCCACACGCTACACTAACGTCGTGCAGCGAACGGGTAGCAGTCTAGGTTAGCGCGCTACAGTTTCGCAATTCGAATGCGTTCACACGACAAACAATACGCGGCCAGCGTGGTGCCGAATATACGCGGCTTAGTTGGCGCGGAATATGATTCTGCGCTAAGCAAGCCGGAGCAATCGCGGCTAAGCAAGCCGTGGCTAAGCAAGCCGCGTATATTTTAGCGTGTGAACGCTTAAATACGGAACTAAAATCCTCGTGTCAACGCAGCTATAGTTATAATTAAAATTAGTTATAGTTATATATAATATATAGATAAGTTATTTATAGATAAGAACATCACATAACATCACATTACATAACATAAGTTATTATCTACTCTTGATATATATATATATATATATAATATACTAATAAGTTAACAAATTTTTATAAATATAGTGACTATAAATATTTGTCAAGTTATTAGTTTTATTTTGACATGTTATTTTTGCGTATTTTTGCTTATTTCTGCTCATCTTTGCTTATGTTATTTTTTGCTTTATTTGTTATTTCTTAATAATATGCATGCTTTAGTGTGTCGTGTGTGATGTGCGCCATATTGCTATGATGTGAGATCAACTTTCATAATTCGGAGGCAAACATTTCAGCATTTCCCTCTATAAGTGACCCTTATACAGAGGGTCGGTGGTGGCCGGTTACCTTCCGTCGACGATGACGATGTAATCTCCGACCTCTACCTCTAGCTTGCCCTCCTCCTTACAGGCCTGCATTGCCTTCATCTCCACCGGCCGGGCCTGCAATCACGCGCACGGCGTCAACAACAACGATCACACCCTCGTGATTAATTTAGAAGTAAAGCAGTGGTACTATCACTAAAACTAACGGTCTTTGTAACGCTGAAGGGGTCGTTGTCGTATCAGGTACTATATATATGTACCCCGAGGTACATATATGTATACCCAAAGTGTACCAGACTTGTACTACAGAAGTGTACCCTAACCCTAACCCTAACCCTAACCCTAAACACACCTCATATAAAAATATAAACATAATACTAAACAACCTAAAACTACCTCGGGTACATATATGTAGTACCTGATACGACAACGACCCCATCTGCCCTACTGCTACTGCTACTGCTAATGCTGCTGCTGTTGCTGTTGCTGCTGCTGCTGCTGCTGCTGCTACTACTACTACTACTGTTATTGCTTCCCTCCAGCGCACTCCCATGTAAATCATCGCATCATGTTTTCACGCGCAAAAACGACCCTTCGTGCCTTTGTAACGGGTGAGAAAGCTTGGTGGCCATGTTTGGTCGATCGAGACTCGGGTTAATGTTTGTTGATACGACAACGTGTGTTAGAACAAACTCTATGATCTCTTTGTTGTCATTAATCTCTCCTTCTTATTGAATTGTGGCTTTTGACTACATTCATCGATAAATAACATTTAAATGATATATATAGATTATTACTACAAATTTACTAATTTACTAATTACAGACTTGTTACTAATGACAAACTCGACTTTTGAGTCAACCAATATGGCAGCCAAGTGAAACCACATAAGACCAAGAATACGCTATCCTGTCATCACGTATAGCTTACCCCTAGCACTCCCTACCCCACGTAACCAAGATGATCCCTCATCGAACATACCCAGGCAGTGGCGCCCCTACTTGACAAACATGACTCGTCGTCGCGCGCAGCGCTGGCGCCCCCTACCTCACACAGCAGCTCCTTGAGAGCGACGAAGGCGGGTCGGTCGTGCGGCCGGTGCGCCCAACACTGCTTCATCAGCTGGTAGACGTCGTGCGGACACGCAGACGGCTTGCTCAGTCGCTTGCCCTCACGGTCGATCATCTGAAGAATCTGCAACCACGACGACAGATCGTTAATGACGACGCGCGGCGATGGATCGTTAACGACGACGCAACGATGGATCGTTAACGACGACGCAACGATGGATCGTTAACGACGATGTGATTAATCGAGTTAATTAGTCTAGCATCCTGCGACGGCCGAGGAATCAAAGAGTTACAAAGGTGCAACACTTCGAACATCAATTTACATAGGGCATGTGATGCGTAGTATAGGCTCGGTTTAATAAGTGCATCACAGCGAGAGGCTTTTGAGGGCATTTGAGGCCACTAAAGCAAGGATCCACTAGAATCCACTAGGAAATCCACTTGGATCCACTAGGATTCACTAGGATCTTCCATCCTCCCTCTCTGTGCCCTGCCCCTCACCTGTGCCCCGCCCCTCACCTGTGCCCCGTCCCTCACCTGTGCCTTGCCCCTCACCTGTGCCCCGTCCCTCACCTGTGTCCCGTTGTAGCCGACCCACGGTTCCTCTCCAAAGGTGAACATCTCCCAGAGCGTGACTCCAAACATCCAGGCGTCGCTCGCGTGGGATTGCTGCGGATGCTGGAAGTGATTATCGACCGCCATCACGGGTTTAAACCCGGTCAGGCTCGCCCACGACAGCACGGCCGGCGTCTGCTGCTGCTGCTGCTGGTTGCCCGCGGCAACGTCGACGAGGAACGGTCGCACCTCAGCCGTCTGCGGCTGCCGCGTCGTCGTGGCGATGGGGTCGGCGAGATTCAGGTATTCGTGGCTGCTGCTGCTGCTGCCGGGGGCGGAGGAGGAGGCGGAGGAGGCAGAGGAGGCGGGGTTTCGGTCGGGTTTCGGCGGGATGAGGAAGTAGTGGGTGGAGCTGACCTGTATGCCGTCCTGCAACATCGGTGCGATACGCTGCTGCTGCTGCTGCTGCTGCTGATGATGATGGAGTGGATGATGCGGCAGAGGATGAGGATGCTGCTGCTGCTGCGAAGGATGCTGCGGATGCAGAGGATTATTCTGCTGATGATGCTGCTGTTGTTTCTCCTGCTGCAGCTGCTGCTGTTGCTGCTGCTGCTGCTGCTGATGTCGCTGTTGTAGTTGCTGTTGTTGCTGCTGCTGCTGCTGCTGTTTCTCCTGCTGCAGCTGCTGCAGTTGTTGCTGTTGTAGTAGTTGCTGTTGTTGTTGTTGCTGCTGATGTTGCTGCTGCTGTTGTAGTTGCTGCTGTTGCTGCTGCTGCTGTTGCTGTTGCAGTTTCTGTTGTAGTTGCTGCTGTAACTGCCGCTGCTTCTGCTGCTGCCGTTCCTCCTCCTCCCGCTCCTCCACCCCCTCCTGCTGGGAGGGCGCCACCGTCGGGCGGGCGGGCTGCGCGACGGCGGCGGCGCGCATGTTTCGATCGACGAACGGCGGCAGACGCGCGGCAGCGCTCGTGTCGAACGGGTCGCTCTCGCCCCGCGGCAGCTCCACGTTTGGCAGCGCGTCGAGAAGGTGCTCCGCGCCACCGGCGCCCCCTGGCGTCGGCTGGATCGGCGCGCGCGGCGGAAGCCCCGGCGTCGACGATGCTGCGTCGTCGTTGCCGGGGGCAACGCGCGCCTGCGCCTCGCGAGCGATCGCCGCCGCCCGCGTTTGCTGATCAGATGACGAGGCCGGCGACGAGGACAGGAGGCAGGGAGCGGAAGCCAGCCAGCCTCCGTCCGCCGCCGCCGCCACGACGACGCCGGGAGACTCCGCCAAGAGAGACACCGACCCCTGAGACCCGGCCGAGTGAGACGCGGGGTCGGGCACGGGCACGGGCTCGGACGTGGGTCGGAGCAGCGGCGGGGTGGACTCGCCGAGACGTGAGAGAGAGAGATGAGTGAGAGACGATGAGAGAAAGAGAGAGAGAGAGAGAGTAGAGACGAGAGGGAGAGGAGAGAGAGAGAGAGATGAGAGCAAAGGAGAGAGAGTGGACAGCAGAGAGAGACGAGAGAGAGTGACAGAAGGAGCCTGTCAGAGAGAGAGACAGAGGCGAGAGAGAGAGAGAGCCAAAAGAGAGAAACCACGGTCGCTTCTCTTTCAGGTGCAAGACTCCGGTGACTTTGGTCACCCCCCCCCCCGGGTCCCCGCCGCCCCCCCCCCCCCTCAATGCGCGCATCCTCAGGAGGCGGACCATTACTGCATGTCCGAACACAAGAAGGGTGCCATTCGGACTGTGAGCGACGAGGGGCGGGGAGGTGGGAGGGACGGGGGGTAGGGAGCCGGGACGGTGACAGCAGGAGAAACAGTATGGAGAGGCGGAGACGAAGATAGGAAATGAGGAGGGAGAGCAATTTGCAAGCTTAGCAGGAGGGAGAGAAAAGTGCGGGAGCAGAGACAAGTGAAAAGTGAAACTAAAGTGAACGACACAAGCATAGAGTTACAAGCAAGAGCAAAAGAGAGAGATAAGACCGGCAGTCCAGTACCAACAACAAGGGTAGAGTGTGTGCGAAACGCCGACGGCGGCCCAAACAAAAACCAAAAGACAGGGTGGGTGACAGAGTAGTACTAGACCAGGTCTGGTGAATCGCATGCCATAGGCAGCAGTGCGTCAGCATTCGTCACCTGTCTCGTCCACCTGTCCATCGGCCCTTCATCGTCACCTTGGGTCATCGTCACAGTGTCATCGTCACATGTCAGTCGTCACTGACCATCATCACATGTCATCCATCACACCTGTCATCACCACTGTCATCGTCAGCCTGTCCATCGTCAATGTCATCGTCAGCCCGTGTCGTCGTCACACTGTCATCAGTCACATGTCCATCAGTACGATGTCGTCGTCGACTGGCGTGTCGTCTGTCACGCGTGGTCGTCCGTCACCTGTCAATCATCGACAATGTCATTCATCACGATGTTAGCTCCGTCACCTGTGCATCTGTCACATGTCATCGTCACCCCCTGTCATCGTCACCTGTCGTCGTCACCGAGTGTCGGTCGTCCCGGATGCTCGTGTCACCGCCCTGTCATTCGTCAATGTCATCGTGCAAACCCTGTCAGTCCGTCACATGTCGTCGTCACACTGTCCCGACGTCACCGCTGTCATCCGTCACCCTGTCATTCCCGTCCACCTGGTCCCATCGGTACTGCTCGACTATCGACCTGTCCGCAATCCGCTCAGGCCAATGCGGTCACCCGTCGTCATCCGTCACCCAGCGTGTCGTCCGCTCACCTGTCATCATCTTTGCACGCAGCCCCAGGTGTGCGGCCGGGAGAACGGCCTCAAGTGTCCGGCAGCTTCATCTCACCGCGCACGCGCGCCCTGGATGTTTGGAGTCACGGCTCTGGGACGATGTTATTTGGAGAGAAGCG